AGGAGGGTCTCGTGTAGTCGAAGTCTACGATCGCAGGCACTATGACAGTCGTGCCAGCTGCAATGACCGCTGCAGTAAGTGGTCAGTGAACTTCACTCTGTTTGCAGCTGATCGGTATTCACGACCAATAGCCAGTTCAAGGATTTATGCTATCCTGGTTGTATAAATTCATATTGGTCCGGCCTGTCGGCCCGGGTATGATTTTCACTCCAAAGGCCAGCAGTGAACTTGTAGGTATGTACAGTACAGTACTTCATCATCCCTTAAGACCGTGAAATCTTCTCCACTCACGTAGCATGACTCGCGTGCACTGGTCAGGCGTGTGATCAGTCAACGGATCGCAGGTAAGATGCTTTGCCACCTGGAACTGGGCAAGCTGCATGTGGATGTGGCATAACTGAGATCCTGGAATCGGAATGAAATCGTTCGTTTGTTCAGAAAGCGGACTGGAATCATGGCTCTTGTTCCCGTTTCGGAAACTTACGACAAGGTTCTGCCGGAAATTGGAATTTATCGTGCAGTATAATATTGGCATATCGCTTTGTTCTCTTCCCGGCAAGAGAGAAGACATCACGGCAAGTCTCATATCTACAGCGTCTACGCTGACGTCTGAAACCGGTGATGTCATTGATGTATATATATCCTGACTAGACTAACTTAACGCGATAAAATATACATGGTTGTATAGTTGTTGTTCGTAGACCCCTTGTAGTTTACGTGTGACATTCTTATCGGAACCTAGAGATCACTTTTCTAAGTGTGATGCTGGAGGTGATCATTTTGCTTTTCTAATACCGTTCTTGGAGTAGCAAGACCCATGCATCCGGATTGAGACCAATAAATGGCACGGTGTACATAGTGAAACAATTGACGAATTTCGCAACAAAAAGTCACTAGTGACAGTTCAATTCGGGTGGCAAGAACCGAGAACCAAAAACACGATTGCAACTGCGAATACTTCATCACCGGCTTTCGATCCAGTATTGAAGTTGTTGATCCGATAGGTACTTCCTAAAATTATAGGATATCAGCTCTCTTAGTTGTAAATATGCCTCAGTAAGGAGAGTGACGTCGCTGGTTATTACGATCTGGATGGGAGACCTTTCGGAACCATCACCATCATGATTGTGCATTACATCGTTCAATCTGGACATCACAGCTCTTACAGTTATTTCATCCACTTTACAGCCATGCACGCAAGAAAGCAAGCGGGTGAAGAACCCTATCACACATGAACAGTTGCCCTAGTTGTCGTACACCGTTGTTTGCCAAGCTGTCTTTATTATGAGACTTGCACTCCAAAGTTGATAGCTGCCATACACCCCATTCACCGAAATCCTAGACTCGCTCGGTCGAGCGTAAGAAACGTTATTGTTCTGCGTTTAAGACATAGATGAGTTCAGGAACTATTTAAGACGGCTAACGTGAAAGTGACATTAGAAACGCCCAACAAACAGCAAACCTTATACCGAGCTCTCATCGATTATGTTCTGACGGCTTTTTGTAGTGATATTGGCAGTGCATCAATGTTAGACTTCGGAGGTGAAAATAGGGTGAGCTTCATAGATGGACTAGCAATCAACATTGGTCTAGAGATTGATCTTGCTGCAACATGGTGAATGCTGCAATGGTAGCACGTACTCGCACTAGTATGCTAGAAGTCAGAGCCCTTCAGTACAAAGATACCTCAGGAAATCGAGAAGCTTGTCCGATGCACTCTTGTTTTCACATCCACTCAGATTCTCGGGAGAGGGAGCTTGTTAAAAGGGGTCTCAAAACTGAGTCCAATGCAATCGTGAACTCGAGCAAAAACGGAGCTAGCTGATGTTGGCGGCAGAGGGATGAAAAGGGTGCTCGCTGACGGTTGGGCAAGAAACTTACGTAGAAAAGGATTTTCAAATGTGAGAGAACGAGAGGGAAAGGTTTGAGTATAGGAAACGCAGCGAGAGGAGGAGGTTGGCCAGAGTCGAAGGGAGTCAGTCAGCCGACGAGACATTTTTGATGGTAGTGATGCAAGAATGTTTCGCTCTCAGGTGGATATAGTCGTCCTCCCACCTCGGTGGGAGACGACGAGGATATCTGTTTATACAATCTCTTACGAACAAACACGAATCAAGTAGTAAAACCTCGTGTGGTTGACAGTAAGAAATTGTATATACAGTTGGATGTTAGATGGATATATATATAAGCAGCCAAAAGCTCATATACGGAGTTAGGATTTACAGGATTTCTTTCATTGTAAGAATTTCATCACCAAAATTCATAGATTGTATACTGAGAGTTATTGTTCATATACTGTTCCAGAGTTAGGTCTTACATGACATGTATATTCTCCGGATCTATTGAAATGATGACATGGAATAAGTGATGATATTTTACACAAGTATTTCCATATCATCTTGTGATACAATATTGGGTTTAATTTGTATACCATCGATTGGAATAAAAAATTATATCAACATTGTTTTATGACATAGTGATGTATGAAGCAAATTGAAAGAACAATAAAAGTTTACTCTACAAGAAATCGCTTGAAAGAGCTTCGAATAAATCACTATCAGCTGCTGGCTCTATGCTAAATATGAGGTTTTGTTTCTTTGTATAACTCTGTTCAAGTCTTCCATGTTAGGATTCAGGATCTTTCATATGATATTTTAAACATATCTAGTTTACAACGATGTCTAATATAAAGAGAAACTAGGAATTTAGTAAGCTACAACTTTCGTCTTTTGATAATCTTTCCGCTTTACACTTGAAAAACGAACACCCATAATAGATCTTGAAATTGTAGCTAATGAAATATTTTTTAAGTTTGAAAATTGGTTTATGCACAACTCAACGTCACTATTCAAAGCCTTATCAAGGGTGATCAGTAAGCATTTAAAAATTATTTTCAGTCACATGATCTCTCTAGTGTTACTGTAGAGTTCTTCCCTATAATTGCATTATCTACAAGACTTAAAATTTTATTGAGAAGTAATGAAGTGCTAGGTGCTAGATATTATCTGTTTCTCTCTATAGAGAAATTTATAAAGAGCATTGAATCAATTGCAAGTTGTTACTTCTGTCATTTTTGAGAAGACAAAATTTTTTTAATAGCATTTTCACACCTATATATTTTGGACTGAACACAACGAGATGTTTTATTACACTGAAATTTGACATTATAGCTCTTCTAGGTACTAATTTAGATTAGTTTTTGTTACAAGTGGATGTTAAAAGCGCTTTCCACATCTACTTGCACACTAGAATCGAGTGTGCAAGTAGATGTGATAATATCAATACTTTATTTGATAGAATTTTAGAAATAACGATAATTCATGTTATTAGATGGGTTGCCAATGTGCTGACATCAACCAAGTTTTGCAAATGTAGTGACATGCAAAGATAATTTTTTGACATTAATCTGTGTTTTTACTAGAATCATATTGGGCTATGAATGGAAATTCTAACATGTTCTGTTATCAACTTTTTCCAAAAAACATTGATGATGTTACTATTTTACATGCGAATGTTACATATTTTTTATAGGTGTTGTATGAAATCCATTTCATTATTATAATATTACAACCTAGACTCTAGTTTATCGATTTAGATTATCCTTGTAATTAATCCTTAAAACATTGTCAACATTTGGCCCTTGAATTGTCAATATATTTCGTATCTAAACCCTACTACATATTGTTAATTCTTTTATCGTCCATTTGGCATCCCTTCTGCTCTCATTATCAACGAATATAAGGAAGACACTTTGTATTTGAAAGACTGTACGCTCTCAACTTCACGCGTGTCAACTCTAACTTGAAGTTTGCCGATGAATACCAAGGTCTCGTGTAAAGACACATTCGTCTTTACAGGCAGGTATAAAATGACAGGCGATAACTGTTGCTTATGCTCGAACATAAACGGCACATACCTAACTACCGACGCCGCCAAATAAGGGCCATGTCACAGGAATGTCGAAGATCTAAGCTCGCCTGAGTCGCAAAGCTTTCCTGGAAGCCAGGTTTTTACATTAATCTAGCCATTGATTCACCTTCGAATTTGTTTCATGACTTATTATGCGCAGCAATCTCGCAACATTGACACCGAGGTTTTTTTATTTATCTTACGCAAGATAACCAAGGAACACAGCTGGTTTCCCGACAGAGCATTACTCTGAGATTCTCGTGTAAGCTCACACCTGCTGCGTACAAACATGTACAGAGGTGGCACCAAGGAGGCGACTTGTGTGACAAACTTGATGAAGATTATTTGAGCTCACATCTACTTCACCCATTTTCGGTGCTAGATATTCGAATCCCTTGAGTCAGTACTGAGGCTGAAGACTCAGTTCGGAGTCTCAATTCTGAATATGGTGGATGTTGACTTTGGATTAATTTTTCATATGTAGCTTGCGTAGGTTCACAGTCGTCTAGTTACTACACCTTTAGCTTCCTGTCATGGCTCGTTCTGCTCAATATCAACTTGCCCTTTAGAGAACATCGATCAGTTTACTTATCGACTCGCCTTTCAATATATTATGGTAGATGGTAAATATATCAAGCCCGTGGGACCCAAAGAGTCAAAAGGCTGAAAAACACAGGGTTTTAATCAGCATGGTCTTGAACTCTGCGTCGCAGAAGAGTATGAAACCATCAAGCAAACAGAAACAAGCATAAACCTCATGTGTTGACTTCGGTGCTCCAAAAACACGTCCCTCGAAGATACTCACAACACGAACAAATTGGTTATTATGACTTACAACGTGCATACCACATGGCTAACTGGACAGCTAGAAAACGATTTGCAGAAGCATGGGCTCACTGTTTTAAGCTGTGGACTACACGGCCACTTCAGTCACTCCAGAACTTTTAGATTGGCGTGAAAGATGAAGAATCTCAGTATGCTCACAGTATATTCATTACACAATGAACCATTTTTTCTCGTATCCCGATATGTACAGAGCATTCAAGTAGATCGCTGAAAACCGAGCAAGTATATAGATTGTCTATGTAAACAAACTTCGATCGCTTCATCAAGATAATCTGAATCTAGTTCCCCAAGTAGGAGAACATAGCAAATGTGGCGGCCCTTTATTCTCTAAGAGGTAGAAATCCGCTCAGTAGTTATTCTGGACCTTCCTGATTTCACCGGCGGATTCGCAACCAGATAAATTCGACATTCTCCCTGAGTATTAAGATGCTCGCGAACTATGCCTCTGAATTCCGCCTTACGTCTGCCAAAACAGTCACTGCGGCTAACGATAAATGTGGCAATGAAAAGTTCAAGTATCTTGTTGTTCTGATTCGTTGCTCATATATGCTGATTCTTTTGACTATACAATCCAGTCAAAGGATGTATAATATATCATATAAAGGTCAGTGATTGGTACTATTCTCGAGGTGTCGGACTCCTACTCAAGCTCTACCGACAATCTAATGACAATCTACGTATGTCATTCTAGCCTACTAGCCTACGAATGTCCCATGTCATGTATTAGTGACCGAGGGATGGTTCTCGTCTCGTGGTTTTCGACTCATTCTACTCTACCCCTACACACAGTTATATGTAGGCCATTGCTCCGCTCTTCAGATTATATGGGCAAGTGATTGTGCATAGTCTTAGAAAACAGCTGTTCGCAGTTTGAGTTCTCAGAAGTGTTTCTGTAACGACGCCATCCATGTCAAAGATGAAGCCCGACAAACCCAATTTGGACTATTTGGATCTTCAACAACATCCTGATGAACAGGTTGTCATTCAAATGAGCCTTAAGGAGCTCGATCTTGCAATGGATTTTATCCCAAATGGAGTTGATACAACTCCAAGCTTCGACACAGCAAAGGTCACTTTATCGCCACCGTCTGGAAATGATCATGTTGAAAGTGCTCAGTCAGAGAGGCTGATTCGTCATGCTGCTGGAGCCGGACATTATAGGGATGTAAAGAAATTCGTGAAAACATTGCATCTAGCTCCTGAAGAACAACTGTTTCTGATGATCGAAGAAGGTGATTTGGAAGGCGTGAAGGGAATCTTGCGAGCTGGTAGCGGCGTTCCACTGAGCTTCAATGAGGATGGATTGAACTGCTGGCATTTGGCTGCGCAGAGTGGGCGCCATCTTATCCTGGGTCTGCTCATAGAGCAGACTCCTCCCGAAAATCTGGCCCCTATTCTGGAAAGGAAATCTACCCAATTTCCATTCCGCACAGCTTTGCACTATGCAGCTGCCAATGTCAACTCAAAGGTTATAAATCTTCTCGTCCTCCATCAAACCATCGAAATGCTGAACGCTGTAGATGGCGACGGAAACACTGGGCTCATGATTGCATGTGATCGAAGCTCTGGGGGCGAACAAGCTGTTGAGATACTTCTGCAGAAAGGTGCTGCGGTCAGTACGCAGAATGGCCAAGGCTATAACTGTCTGATGATTGCTGCATCGAGAGGTAACGTTGAACTAGTACAGAGATTGTTGAACCCTGATGTGGGCACCAGGTACCTCTCGGAGAAACGCCTCATAGGCATGACTGAGCCACAACGGCATCAGATGTTCGTAAATGCCAGTGCCGACGGAACGAATGAGACCGCACTCTATCAAGCGGCTGCGGGAGACCACTGGAAGGTGTTAAAACTCCTGATGAGTGACCGCAACATCATCGTGGACGCGCGCGACTGGTTCGACCGCACGCCTCTAATGATCGCGGCCGTGAAGGGTAACCTGAAGGCGGTCCAAATTCTCCTGATGTGCCATGCTGATGTGAACCTTCATGACAAGTCCAAGAGAAGCTCCCTGCACGCGGCCGCATCCCTGGGTCGCTCGAAGGTGCTGTTCGAGCTGCTCATGGTGGACAACCTGCATCTGGATGGCAAGGACATAAAGAAGGACACGGCGTTGGACATTGCTTGTCAAAATGGCCATTCAGATGCCGTGAGACAGATCCTAGACAGCATAAAGCTGCGTATCGAGCGAAAACTGCCAAATAACGAGGAGAGCAGGGGCTCGCAGATGACAGGGGACAAGGACATCGATAAGAAGAAGTTGCGAGGCGCGTGTACGCACGAAGGTGGACGGAACTGCCTGCACATCGCAGCCTTCCACGGCCGCGCGGAGGTCATTCAGACCCTCGTAGGTTACAGAGGCCTCTTGGACATAGATAGTCGAGATGGTCAGCGTAACACAGCGTTGTTACTCGCAGCGGAGGGCGGCCACACTGCAGCCTTCAAGTTGCTGGTGCAATCCGGAGCAGACATGTTTCTTCGCAACGCCGAAGGCTATACTTGCTTGCATGTGGCCGCCAAGTCTGGTCACGACGACTTGCTCAGAGCGTTCTTGATTGATGAGGACGGCGCTGAGTTCCTGGAACGCGCGCTGCTGGAAGGGGAGGAACCTGACCGCCCTACAACTCCGAGGCTCGGGACGGACTGGATGCCCAAGGACAGTTCGCTGGGCCATACGTGGAATGTGGTGCGTTTGCTGCTCTTGGAGGAGACCGGCGGTGAATTAGCGTACACTCCTTTGCACTTGGCCGGAATGGCCACAGAAGATAGGGAGGAAGGAAGGAAACGCAAGGAAACGCCGAGACTCTTGATGTGGAGCTATTTGATTCTTGCGTTGAAGGTGCGAGGATTCTCCAGCCAATCTTTCGATCTGACGCGAAACGACGAGTTTCAGAGCCTCGTCCGAGATCTACTATCGGCGGTGAATGCGGATGGAGAAAGGTTGCCTCTGAACGCGGATGGCACCGTCATTCATCCGTATCGCTGGATCGATCGGAATGCAGACTTGGGGTTTTCGGGTAAGCTGAATTCGTTTTGGAGTAAACGGCTGGATCCTCCCTCGACTTTGTTCACTGTAAATGAATTCTTCGGAGATGTTGTGCAGGGTCCCGACGGTCAGGTATGGGCTGGTCCAGATGCCAGTAAGCTGGCACCTGCATTTGTCGAGGGTTTTATTCAGTTCCTGAATTACAGCAATGCTGGAGACAAAGAGAACAGAACACTGATGCATTTCGTTGCGAATCGAAAAACTCAGAGCCGAGAGCCAGACGAAGAGTACAAGTGCTTTGTAGAAAGACTTCTGCATTATCCGGCGATCGATACGACTGTTGTTGATTCGTCGCTGCAGACGCCTCTGCATCTCGCCCTGAGGAACAGAAATGTGTGCGTTGTCAGACATATTCTCGACATGATTCGAAAGGCACACATTTCTCCTCGAATTCTCACCGCAAAGAACGTTGACCATGATACTCCTTTGTCGATGGCAATCGAAATGTGGAAGGACGTGGCCTCCGGCCGTACCCCTGCCTCGGACGCGAAGAATTGCGTCTTTCTGGAAATGCTGGAGAATTTAGTGATCAAGAAATTTGTAGAGCAGGAGGATTCCAGCAACCCAGCGCAATCCGGCTTCACAGAAGCAATGTCCACTTTGCTCCATGGCCTGGCCAAATATCTCCAAAATGGACTTCTTCGTGATAACAAATCGCCAGCAGGTGGTGACGCGCACTCCCAGACGACCGGGACGGACGATTTCGGCTTGACTTTGCTGCACTACGTTGCATACAGAGGTTCAAGTCATCTCCTCGGCCGCTTACTAACGCGCCACGAGTACCAAAATCTGGTGAACAAGAAGTGCACGTCCGGTTACACGCCTCTGCACTTCGCGGTGGTCATGGTGAACTACGAGGTGGTCCGGGTGCTTCTGAAAGGCCCAGCCTCGACAGAGCACAACGACCGCGCCGGCAAGGCCGTGCTCGCGTGGCGGGTTCGAACAACTGAAGAGGACGGATCCGGAGAGACCCCGCTGGAGAAGGTCGGGAAACTCAAGGCCGAATCCGAGCTCCCCGCAGAGAAGGATCGCCTGTCGCACATCGAGCAGATGCTTCTGAACGAGAGCGACGTCCGAGAGTACGTGGACAAGCTGTACAGGGACCGGCAGGTGTGCGTGGACGCCTCGAACGCCATGCTGGTCGGGGCAGCCGTCATAGCCAGCGTCACCTTCGCGGGCTGGCTCCAGCCGCCTCTGGGCTACGCGGAGTACAGCCAGTACCCGGTTTCCGACTCTGCTCCCTCGGACGGCGTCCGTTATGAATCCTATGCGGCAGTGCAGCAGTACCCGAGCGTTCAATCCTTCTGGGTTTTCAACAGCCTCTCGTTCTTCTTCGCAGTGGCCGCTGTGGTGTGCGGGGCGGGGGCGTCACTGCAGATGCAGCTCTCGCAAGAGGCCAGTAACTCTTTTGCCATCAAAGGGGAAGTGAAGCGGATCCGGAAATGGTTGGTTTTCACGTCCCTGCTGATGGCGGGCGCGATCATTTGCGTTCTGGGAGCGTTCGGAACTGCGGGCTACGTTGTTCTGCCCCCGGAAATGAAGTTTCGAGCATGTATGATTGTCACCCTCTGCATCGGTATTCCTATTTGTGTGGCTTCCCTCTTTTGTTTCTTCCAATCTTCGGGTATTGTCAAGGAAGGTGTGTGATGGGTTTTTGGATCACCGAGGGTTCGCTGGGCTTTGCCGGGCGCTTGTGCAAGAAAGAAAATCTAACTCCCGCGGTGATCTCAGACTAGGATCGGCTTCAACATTGTCTGCGAAAGTTAGAATTTCATCGCGAATATTCTCGAACAGAACAGAAGTTGTTCGTTCGGTCTCACTACGTTCCTTCGTGTCTGTACCATAGTCTCCAGAGTATGTCCAACAAAATTTGGCATTGTCGACTGGAACCATCTTGCGAAGATTACGTGGAAGCCAACCACAAACCAAGAACTTCATGATTCTAGTGCATGGAATGCTAATTGGCACTAATAACCTTGCTGGTGCCAACACTTTTCTCTCACTGATCACTCCATGTCTCGAGATGCGCCATCGCTAGTGGGTTTGGGTTGCCTTTTGACATCTGAGATCTTGTGCAGTGGTATTATGAACTCATTTGTCTTACATTTTTTACTGGAGCCTGATTCGTTACAGAAACACTGCCAAAGAGCCTAACCATGTCCTCCACTAATATTAGTCCGTTACTGTAGATCAGAACGTGCAAAATCACTTGTCTTCTGCCTTTTCTTGTTCCAGTCTTTGTCTCTTGGCTTCTTCGTTTGTTGTGTCTCATGACCCTTCTGGGCTTTTATGTACTTCGACATTTATGCAGTCATTACTTTTTATTCCGTAAACTTATCTTAACAAGCACATCAACTTTATGGTTTACTGTGGACTTTAAAGGTGTGTTCACCTTGTAAAGGTGGACCAAGCGAAGCATATCACTGTGTCTGCTGATGTCCAAATTTAGAATTTACCAAGTTCAAGGTCATACAGAGTAAGTACACTGGATCAATGCTCGACTACAACAGTTTTTGTTTCTGCCATAAGTACACATTTCTATAACAAAATTAACTTGGTAGAAGGCACTGATTAGTCACGAGTTGCAAAGGTAGCCAAAGTTTCTTGTGGAGTTCCAAGACCAACCCACGACGAGTTACATCAAGATCCACATAGAAAATGGGAAGAAATGAGCTGTTGGAATGGGGACCTGAGGGAAGCTGCAAAGACTTGCTTCATAATAAATAGGGTGAAGAGAGATCAAACGATTGAGCTTATTGGCTTGAAACTTGTCTATTTTCTGAGGTAGGGCCAGATTTGGTAGAAGCTGGTTCCCTGCAAATCTCCTATGTAAAGACTTTGAAGATCAAGAGGCAAATACATCAAAATTAAAAGTTTAGATTTATTTCCACACTCTCGGTACTCCAATTGATGAAGTATAGAAATGTCTCCGAGTTCAGGTTTTCTTGAGATCCAATTCCCGCGAAATGCAGACTCCATGGAATTCTCAATCATTACTTTACATTCTCATTCGAACCCAATGAAAAGTTATCTACTTTTCATTGGGTTCGAATACACAATGCAAAGTTGTCGAGCCACCTTTATAGTACACAACAAATTAGTTTAAAAATTTCTCTAATTTTTTTGATGCTTTACTCAGATTCCTTAATATTTTCAATAAGACTTACATTGAACTCGTTTATATAATGACGCGTTACTAGATTCACTAAGTATCATTGGTTGATTGGAATAAATCAAGACCTAAATTAACTCTCAATAATAACATGAAATTCTAAATATCACTTGCGCGTACAAGAAATTATAATTTTTGAATTAAGCGTCCAATTTTAATTATTCTTTTCAGCTATTAAAGACCATATTTTTTTAAATATCAAAACAAATCAACTTTTTATAGAAAATATTATTAGAAAACCAATGACATCTATAAATACAAATTAACTAGTTAAATTTTGATCCAAATTAATTCAATTTTATAAGATAGTACTATTTGAGTATTTTCTCTACACATATAAAGCATTTTTTGATAAAAAAATTTGTTATAATCCAAAGACATGATAAATGATACTCTTGTGTTTGCAATAAATATTTTAATTATTTTTTTATGATTTTATTTATTATCTGATCAATTATATAATGATGTTATTTTTTGATCGATTTGGATCTTCCTTATGTTTAATTTAAATTTGAAAAATCATATAACTTTTTGGTTTTTGGGGAAAAAAACCCAAAATTTTAAAATTTTAAAAATATTGTTTTCAAAAAACTATGCTTGAAGAAATAGACTCCATAGATTTATATATGTACAAAAGTACTCTTTGAACCTCTAAATTGAGCTTAAATAGATTTTTAACTACTAGAGATTATAGCAAAACATTTAAAGAGTTTTTTTTAATTCTTTATTATTTTTTATTACTTTACAAACTACTTAAATCTAAATACTTCCATTCTAAATTTTGACACATAAGTTATTTCTGACCAAATACTAGTATGATTAACTTAACAAAAAGTAATAATGCTTTTTGGCACATAAACATCAATAGTCTTCTTGATGCTCAGGTTAATTGCAATTTTTTTATATTTAAATTTTTTTATCATCAAATAACCCTTATCATTCAAGTAGTTATATATTCAAAATTTCAAATCATTATTTTTTCATGTCTCATATAAATTTACATTGGTAGATGTTTAACTTACTTAAACATAAATATTTTTATACTACCATTATTATACATCTCATAAGAGTGATATGTTTTAATGCAAATTTAAAAAATTTGTAAATAAATTTTAAATCTTAATATAGAAAATTCAAAAATACAATTATTATTCAAATTGTATCCATCATTAAATACTGTTAGATTAATTTGGTCTTGGATTAACTACAATTAGTGATAACCATGGTTACAAAAGTTAATTTTGGCTAGGATGACTAAGATGTGCATATTATCTTCTTGTATAGAAATGAAAAGCATTCATTCACTACGTACAATTCAAGGTTGCATTTAGAGAGTGAACAGGAAGGAGTAGAGCTTGGCTATGGAGGCCGTGTATACTCTTATGCTTTAGTGAAGTTTCTACTCTTGCCAGTGGATGTAGCCTATGGAAGATGAATCACGTTATATAGGTGTTGTGACTGTCGTGCGTGCTGACCAATTTGGATGCTTGCGACTTTCAATTGGTATTAGAACTCGTTCAATGCACACAGAAGACCAGGAAGCCGCTGAAATGCTGTCAAAATTTCTACTTGCAATTTGAAGTAATTGTTAGCTAATTCTCTATAGAAGAGTAGATGAAATCACTAATTACACTTTGATGAAGAAACAAGAAAGTTTGAGAAGAATTTGATAGAATGATTAGAGAGATTTTTGAAAAGTGAAGCGGAGAGTTCTTTTACATTCTACAGTCAAAGAAATCGCTTTGATTTCTCAAAATTTAAAGTTTTGCCATTAAATTTTCCAATTTGTCATACCTATGCTTAATCTACTATTCAAGACAATTGTTTCGACCTAAATTTTGTTGAGTTTTGTTGAGAGTTTGCGAAGTTATGGGTGTTAGAAGATTGGGGTCCAATTCGGCTATGGTGACCTCACATGTTCGCAAATTCGGAGT